TTTATTTGAAAGAGAGGCAGTGAGAGAGAGCATGAGCAAGGAGAAGGTCAGAGGGAGAAGCAGACTCCCCATGGAGCTGGGAGCCCCATGCGGGACTCGATCCCAGGACTCCGGGATCATGACCTGAGCCGAAAGCAGTTGTCCAACCAACTGAGCCACCCAGGCGTCCCTTTTTTTGAAGATTTTATTTACTTATTTGACAGAGAGAGAGAGAGAGAGATCACAAGTAAGCAGAGAGGCAGGCAGAGAGAGAGAGGGAAGCAGGCTCCCCGCTGAGCAGAGAGCCCAATGTGGGGCTCAATCCCAGGACCCTGAGATCTTGACCTGAGCAGAAGGCAGAGGCTTTAACCCACTGAGCCAACCAGGCACCCCTTGGGCCGTAGACCTTTAAGCCTAACAGAACTAAAGGTCTTGAGGGGACAAATTTAATAACATTACTTACTTAGAGAGTCTTAGAGAGTCTTGCTCTTGCTGGGCTATCTATGAAGGGCCACGGAGACCCAAAAGTTGGTGCCTCCCAGAGCATTCAGAACCTGACAAGGCAGGACCGGCTACACTGGAGGGCTGGCATGGAAGAGAAGCGGGGGACAACAGGCCTGGCCTGGGAGAAGTATGTGTTCTCAGAGGGACATATGGTTGGACTGGAGCATGATTCACTTAGATGTGTCTGGTGTGGCTCACCTCGGGGGCAGTCAGAAAGCAGCTCTTAGTGGATGGGCCCTAAAGACCTCTGGGAGGCTCCCTCCCTTTGCTCAGAAGAGAAGAGTTCTTTATGGTACGCAGTGTTCCTCAAAGTGAGGTCCGCAGGAATCACCTGTGAGGCTTAATCATTCTGGGGCCTGGGCCCAACCCAGATCCCTGAATCAAACTCTCTAGGGATATACCTGGGAATCAGTCCTTCTTATAAGCGCTTCAGGCAACCTTTAAGCATGCTGAGGTTTGAAAACTTCCTCTCCACAGACTAAACTGCAGACCCACGCTCAGTCCCAGTCATGAGAGCAGGGTCTCCTCCCTTGGTGGGGGGTGGAACTCTGCCTCCTTCCTACACAGGCGTATCTCAAACCTCCCTCCCTGGAGGCTGCTGCCCTCCCTGTTCCCCCCACAGGGGACACCTCAGCCTCTCCTCCACCTCTAGGACCAGACAGAGGAGAGTTTTGAGAGAGGACCTCAGAAAGGTGGCAGATTGCCCTGGGGCAAACTCAGCCACCCTAACATCCCTCCTTCCCACCCAGAACCAGCTTACAGCACACCTGAGTAGCTATTAATGCCCTACAGTGGAGCCAGTGTCTCGCCCTAAGCTCACAGGCAAGACACTACCAATGGGGATGGCCCCTCATGGGCCAGACCCTCATGTAGACTCACCCCTTCTCCTCGCCGCTCTCAGCCTTACTTCCTGCTGCCGACTCCCTCTCCTGAGGTCACAACAACCCTGCTCGCAAGGCTCGCACCACTTCTTTCTAAAACTGGGTCCAGTGTCTTTTCAGATCTCCATTTGGAGATCTGAACTTCTCATTCATTCATTTCAGGGCTCAGCTTGCTAGCAGTCTACCTCAAAGAAGGTTCCTTAACTTCTGCACCTGTTTCCTTGACAAAAGAGAGTCTTCAGAGTTCCCACTTCATAGATCATTGTAAGGAACCAAAGGTTGTATGGCACACAGTAGGTGCTTAATAAATGTTAGTCCTCCTTGTTCCCTTCTAGGCACTTTCAGGAGGCAAAAGAGATGAAAACCGTGATCCCTGCTCTCAGTGCACTCACAATTAACTTGGGGAAATAAGTTCTTAAAATAGTTGTGATAGGAGGCAGCCCCAGGTGTCATTCGTTAAGTGTCATAGGTGGTGGGGAAGGGAGGGGTCGCCTGAGGCTGGAAGGTACAGTTTGCCTCTTTCACCTTAGACACCGCTCATCTGCGCTGTGTTTCCTCATCCATAAAAGGGATGGGTCATACTGCCCTGCCCACCTCACAGGGTGTCGTGAGGCTCAAAGCAACCTGGTTGTGAAGGAATCTGAAACCTATAAAATGCTATGGAATAGTTGGTGAAAAAGGAGAAGACAGAAAAGGGGCGTTTGGCATCTGAGTGGAGCAGGGAGGGGACCACCTTTGTATCATGTGGCAGGGTCCAGTGTGATCTGACTCTTCTGGGGTCCCCTTGGGTGGCCCTGGCCCCAGGGGCTCTCCGGGTAGCCAACTTGAACTATAGCTGATATTCATGAAGGAAAGTCAAAAGCAGGCACCAACCAGGGAGTAGAACAATTCTAACCAGGCTCATTCTCCTCATTAATAGTAACAGCCAACATGAACTTGGAATATTACAGACTCAGCTGAGCACGAGTGAAGGACTGGTGGAGGAGGAACGTGAATTCTGAAACCCCCCACCCCCATGCTTGCATATGCACCAACAAAACACCGGTGGGGGGTGGGGGGACTGCAGCTCAGCCTAAGAGAACGAGGGCTGCCCCAGGCTCCACGTGCTGTTTAAAATGCAGACAGTTTGGAGGGGAGGGACTGATGGTTCAGAACTGGCAAAAAAAAAAAAAAAAAAAAAAGCTTTCACTACCACCCCACCCATCGCCTGTGGGGACTCCAAGCCAGGCCAGGTGGGTTGGCCCAGCAGAAAGTCTGGAGCCCAAGCACCCAGCCTGGTTATGGCCCCCCTCCGCCCCACCTCTACTGTTCCCTGAGCCTATGGAAGGACAAGCTGTTCCCACTGAGCCCTGCCAGGGCTGCGCTTTAACCCCTACAATCCATCCTAATCCTCCCCTGCTCCACCCCTCCAACTGCTCCCTCCCCAGCCCTGGCATTCTGCCTGCCAGCCTCAGCCCTGCCCTCACCCCGCCCCACCCAGGCCACCCTCTGCTCTCCCCTAGACATGCAGGGGTTGGCCGAGGGCCCTCCAGAGCACAGTCATCAGGCTGAGTACCTGCTGCTCAGATGCAGAGCCAGGGAGCGAGGCTCAGAGCCTGCCGGCCTATCCTCCCCACACAGCCTCTTCCAGACCCTTGCCCGCTGCTCTAAAACCTGTTGCTAGGAGTGAAAGGTCTGGGAACCTAGAGTACCTGGGTCCTATTTGCCAAGGGGCTGCTGACTCATCTCCCGAAGCCTTGGGTGCCCAGCTGTTCAGTGACAGCGAGATTATATAAGGGGAGGTCATGTGATTTTACTCTTGGGTGGGACTTTGAACTTGACTGCTGCCTTGCAGCGAGCAGGGGTTACTCCAAAGAGAACAAGTTGAAGGCAGCAGGAACTGACTGCCCTAGCGGTCCGGGGTGAGAAGTGGAGAAGTGTGACCTTCCTCTCTCCTCCCCTGCCTTCTCTGTTTATTCAGCCATGCTGAAGTGCATCCCCGTCGTCTTGTTTGTCCAGCCTAGCAGTCTGGGACCCTGGGCAGCAGCCCCCAGGAAGCTGAACGTCCTGAGGGCTTGAGTCTCTGTTGACATGGGAAAGCCTCTCAGAGGAGACCTTAAGCTAAAGGGTCCCATGACCAGGACCAGTACGAGCTGCTGAGAAAGGACAGGCAGTTCGGGCAGGTGTCAGCAAGACACCAATGGTCCCCATCCCTTGAAGATGGGCTATGCTCTGTGACCTGGTTGGTGGCCCCTGTGCCGCCTCACCGAGGCTCAGTTTCTCAGTCAGGGCCCAGCATCATCCTCCCTGCCTCCCTCCACCCCTGCTCCAGGATGTCTTCATGAGTTAACATGGTGCTGGGGTGGGGCTGGGCAGTGGAGAAGTTAATCCGAGCCCGGCAAAATGTTCCCTGCCCGAGGGGGAGCCGCTCCACTGACCAGCAGCTACACAAATGAACATCATGTTCAGGGCCCAGGGCTGCAC